CATCGCAGTCTCCTCTCCACCAATAAGCTGGTGTGTGGTGGGCGTTCTGCCGCAATATGGCTGCCGTCACATCATCCAGGTGGATGCTGCACATTGGTGGTGGTTGAGGAGACTCCCCCTTCCATGTAAAGCACCTTGAGTACCCAGAAAAGCGCTATATAAATGTAACGAATTATTATTATTAATTAACTAAACACTAACAAAACATGAATGAGTGTTGCAATATGCAAAATATCACACATTGTGCTTGTAAAACAAAGTCAAATGCTTTCATATAATTTGCTAATATATTAAAGTCTTCATTTGATATAGACCTTATGTAGCCCCGCCCCTTTTCAGCGTTGCGCTCGTTGTCTTTTGACTTCCGGTCTGTATTTTCACAGCGATCTTGCATAGGTGTGAATGAACTGCTGGTAAAAAAAATTCCCGGTCGACATTTGTTAAGACATCTGCTTTCCAATGCTTATGATAAACATTACAATGCTCATGATAACTTTTGTTAACTCTACTATAAGTAAATCCACTTCACTAGCTAATTACTCCTCGACAGCAGCGATGCCATAGAAATATACAGAGCGACTGCAAAAACGGAAGTTCAAAGACAATATTCTGGTGCATAAGGTCTATAAAGAATGAATGTCTTTTTTTTTTGTGAACAATTTTTTATTTTTATTTTGTATTTGCTTTCATATTAACAAACATATACATATTCACCACCAACATACATATACACCAGAAACACAACATAAATACCTTCATTCTCTCACTCACACATCTCAACTTACCCACACACCACAACACACATATTCAACGCAAGAATATGCATAAAATTGAACAATTTTTAACCTTATCTAATGAATTTGTCTTTTTATTGATGACTCGTTGGACTGCAAATAAACACATAATGAATTCTCTCAACAAGAGCTCATTTAACTTCCTGCATAAAGGTTTCAACTGTATGAGCAGGATAGGAAGGCAGTTATTACATGGGTCTAAATATATAAAGGTGCCCGCAGTGGAAATGTGATAGTGCCTGTCTACAAGAAATGTTTCAGCTAGAAGCAATGCTGTGGTGCACTCCACTGAGGGACCGCTAGGGGTGCACTGAAAGTCCGGTAATAATGGGACAGGGCGTGGGAAGTTGTGTAAACAGGTGGCAGATGTACCAAGACCAGCGTGAGGCAACGGGGAGTGAAAAGCAGGGCAGAAAATGGACAAGTGGCATAATTTGATACGAGGTGCAGAGGGAATGAGAGGGGCAGGCGGATAGATGGAGCAGATGTCAGAGAGTCGCTGGAGTTTGCTAAGCTGGGGTCAGCTTGAGTCATGCATGATGCCGACATTCATGGAGCGGAGTTCACTGTACAGCTTTTGCTAAATAAACACATGATTTTAACATTGTATTGCTGATGTCAACTTTATTCAAAAAGTAAAGTGCCCATATTATGCTTTTTGTCAAATGTTACCTTGCTTTCATGCAGTGTGTATAGCTGTTTGTGAATGTAAAAGGTCTGCAAAGTTTTAAAGATCAAAGTGCACAATAAATAAAGGTGTTTCCTAAAAAAAAAAGAAAGAAAAAAGGATATGTTGTGAAGTCTATAGTAATTCCAGTCTCACTTCTTGCACAAACCATGTAGGTTTGTAGCTGAGGTCTAGCAGAGTTTGCTTTGTGTTGTTGACATGTCAAAAAGATGCTGTTTTTTTGTGCTGCGAATCCACTTTGCATTCACTTCCAAAGGACTTGGGCTCGAATTGGGTAACACTTTATTTGAAGGGGTGTCCATAAGACTGTCATGACACTGTCATAAACATGACATAACACCTGTCATGAACATGAAGGAGTCTTTATGAATGTTTATGACTGTTGTCATTAAAGGATTAGTTCACTTTTGAAAAAACTTTTGCTGATAATTTACTCACCCCCATGTCGTCCATGTCTTTCTTTCCTCAGTCGAAAAGAAATTTAGGTTTTTGATGAACACATTCCAGGATTTTTCTCCATATAATGGACTTCAATGGGAACCGGATGGTTCAAGGTCCAAAAGACAGTTAATAACTGTTTCAGATGCAGCTTCAAATGTCTTTAAACGATATCAGACGATGAATAAGGGTCTTATCATGCGAAACGATCGGTTATTTCAAAGCTTATTGTAAAAAAAAAGTTATTTCAAATGTAACTTTTCTAAGGACAAATGCTAGCCTAGCTCTATTCTGTGAGGCGCGTTTGTAACGTCACGTAATACATAATTACGTTCAAAAGGTCACGAGCGACGTAGCCGGAAGTACAGAATCAAAATCGTCCGACATCGTTGTTTTACCTTTTAATTCCTTTTTTGTAAACGGCGTTTGAGTTAGTTTGCACGTTCAACCTATGCGTTCAACTTGTAAACACTCTGACGCTGTACTTCTGGCTACGTCGCCCGTGACCTTTTGAACGTAATTACGTACTACGTGACGTTGCAAACACGCCTCACAGAATTGAGAAAGGCTAGCATTTGTCCTTAGAAAAGTTACATTTTTGGAATAAGCATTGAAATAACCGATCGTTTCGCATGATAAGACCCTTATTCATCGTCTGGTGTCGTTTAAAGACATTTGAAGCTGCATCTGAAACTGTTAACACTATCTTTTGGACCTGAACCATCCGGTTCCCATTGAAGTCCATTATATGGAGAAAAATCCTGTAATGTTTTCATCAAAAATCTAAATTTCTTTTCGACTGAGGAAAGAAAGACATGGACATCTTGGATGACATGGGGGTGAGTAAATTATCAGCAAAAGTTTTTTCAAAAGTGAACTAATCCTTTAAGTGTCATTCGGTAAATTATGACACTTTTAATGCAAAGTTGACATTGTTTAAAATGTCTTTGTCATCATGACAACTTGACATTAACCAAGAAATCATAACCTGTCAACCTGACATCTTTATAACTAGTCCAACGTGTTCCACTTTACTTGAGGTAAGGGGAAATATTAATGACACTGTTGTTAAAAGCATTTGACAGTGTAATAACCCTTAATGACATCTTTATAACTAGTATAATGTGTTCCACTTCACTTGAGGACAAGTAAAATAATGTCACAGTTATAATAGTGTCATGACAACCAAAGTTAAAACCAACCATAACATATGAAAGGGACAGGGTAATGTAATGTTAACACAAAGCTAAATAACTTCTTTAAGTTTGATAATTAGACCTGTTGATTTCTTGGTTAATTTCAAGTTGTCATAACAAAGACATTTTAAACAATGTCAACTTTGCATTTAAAGTGTCATAATTTACGAATTTGAATTTATGACACTTAATGACAACAGTCATAAACATTCATAAAGACTCCTTCATGTTCATGACAGGTGTTATGTCATGTTTATGACAGTGTCATGACAGTCTTATGCACACCCCTTCAAATAAAGTGTTACTGGGTGTTTCATTTCCGACAATCGCTGTGGACCGATCACAACTGACAGGTCAGCTGACCAATCAGAGCAGAGGAGGGTCGTGGAAAGGAGTGGTTAAGAGAGACTGAATCCAAAGGAACCATTTTAAGACTGTGAGAAATGTGGTGATGTGCATTGTATATTATGAGAAAATTGTAAGTGTTTTTTTTTTTTTTTTTAACCTTGGATGCATGAATATATTGTAGGAAATAATACATTTTGTAGGAAACCTCCAAAACAAGGAGGAACCTTTAAAATAGCATATTATGGGCAAAAATATGATTTTTTAGATGCTTTTTCTTCTGTCATAAGGATGCTTTTTTTGTTCAAAACCACTGATTGCAACTTCAATATTTTGATGAAAACTAAATATAAAAAAATAAGTAGTACCATTTTTTTTTATTTCTTCTATCTTAGTATATTTTCAGATGTTGTTGTTTTCCATGGTTTTTAAGATTATTTCAGATTCTTCAAAGACAAGTCTTCTCGTTTTATCTCTATATCTTGTGTTTGTTGTTATTGCTATTAAAGAATTGTACATAAAAAAAGTGTATATTTACAAAAATATGATTTAAATTCTTTTGAAGTAAGTCCAGCTATTGTATTTTCGCATACTTAAAGGGATAGTTCACTCAAAAATGAAAATTACCCGTTATTTATTCACCCTCAAGCCATCCTAGGTGTATATGACATTATTCTTTCAGACGAATACGATCAAGTTGTATTAAAAATGTCCAGGCTCTTCCAAGTATTATAATGGCAGTGAATGGTCATTTCTGTTTTGATGTCAATAAAAGTGCATCTGTCCATTATAAAAGTGCTCCACACGGCAGGGTTAATAAAGGCCTTCTGAAGTGAAGCGATGTGTTCGTGTAGGAAAAATATCCATGTTTAAAACCTAATCGACTAAAATAACTAGCTTCCAGAAGTCGACTTATGCCAAAAGAGTAACACTTGTCAATGCATGACGTAAGATGTCGCCTCTCGTGGTTCAAACAAACAGGACTGGGTATATGGCCGTCTGCCGGAAGCTAGTTATTTTACTCAATAAAATTTTAAATATTGATAATTTTTATCACACGAACACATCGCTTCACTTTATAAGGCCTTTATTAACCCCATTAAATGTAAAATAATAACCAATACCAACATAAAATGATTGGGTAGAATGTACAGCTTTTATTGAATAATTAATTAATAATTAATTATTAATTAATTAATAATTGAATTAACATTTTAAAATGTATTTCAGGCAATTCTTAACTTGTAAATCTGCATTCGAAAAATACTTAAAAATAAATAATATTTACTACTGTCCAGAAGTGATGTTACATTGTAGAGAAACCAATATGAATATATTTTAGCAATCAAAATAACTAAACATAAAAGTGTTTCCAATTCATATATATATATATATATATATATATAAAAAGTAAAAGTATGTTACATTATTGCACAAGCAGAGATGTGTAAGTGTCCCCCGTTTTCAATACAAACAGATGATAAAAACAAAAGAACAAAATTACTTGCATTTCCTTTCAAATAAATATATATATATATATTTTTTTTTTGTCATGCCAGGGAGTGCAACAAGTTCTGGATTTATTAATAGTCACACAAAAACAACCATTTTGTAAATATGAATGGCAAAATACGGATCTCAATCAGTGTGTTATCCATGGAAATTACACTAATGTTCATAGTTTGATAAATGTTCTTTTCCAAATTCACCGGCACTAACTATATCCAACAAATTGAACCCATCATGGAAGACCATATTGAATTTTTCATTCATGATATTTAGCTATGTTGCACGAAAAATGTTAGTTTTGCATACAGTATTCTCTTAGGTTTGCAGTGATAATATGGCATCAACATTTATATAACATTCATACATGAGAATATATTAAACATATCTAGTCTTGTTTTTTTCCTTGTGTCACTATTACAGTTCAAACTATGCATTGAAATTAATGACACCTAAAATAGCGGGGGTCGTCATTTTGTATACTCCTATAATCAAATGCATTTTTGTGGGAAAAGTATAAAAGAAGGACAGATCTTTAATTTATCCTTTTGGAAACCAATGGATTGTGAGAGGCAGTCACCAAAATGGAGCAAGACGGTTAGACGGGAGGGTTGATAAGTTAGAGGAATTGGTTATGTCTGGAGAAAAGGAAAGTGGCTTTATAGCCATTTTACTACTTAAAAGAGCATTTCACCCAAAAAAATGTAAATTGTTATTTTGGCATCATCCTCATGTCATTCCAGACCTGTATGACTTGAACCAAACGTGTTTGATAACCCATTGTTCTAAATATCTTATTTTGAGTTCCACAGACGGCAGTCAGTCATACAGGTTTGGAATGACATGAAGGCGTGTAAAAACATTACAAAACTTTCATTTGTGGGTGAAATATACAGTACGTCTCAACATGAAATCCAAATGGACTGGAACATTCACCCACCAACACACGCAAATCGTTCCTCAGACAGAAGTGGCGAAGAGGAAGATCTGCAGCAAGGGCATCACCTTCAAGGTTGAGAGGTCAGCAAGAACAGCCTGCAAGAAGAAAAGAATTGAAATTAGAAAAACAAAGACTTTTATGGCTATGCACTGTAATAAGTGCTGCTGTAGATGCTATGCTAGTTTCGGGCAGGATTCGATTCAAATCTAATTCAAAGGGGTGGTTTAAACTGGTGCTGTCAAATAAATGAATCACGATTAATCACATCTAACATAAAAGTTTGTAAATGTGTGTATACTGTATGTATGTATAGATAAAAAAAAAAAACATTTATGTTAGATGCGATTAATCGATTTGACAGCATTAGTTTGAACCTTTTCAAATCCAATTGAGAGGACATGTAAACACTTGATCGCACTGTAAAACTGAAACTGGAAAGTACTGCACGTGTGCAATGACGTGTGATGCACAAAATGAGCTGTTGTTGAATGAAGTGTAATAAATGACTGTCATGTCATTCTGAAATTATCCTTCCACTCATAGGGCCAGATTTACTAAACAGGGCAAATTAGTGGGATGTCGCAATCCCATAAAAGCCCAGATGGGAATGGAAAGTTCTGTGAGTGATCAACTGATGACGTGCAAATGAGAGAATACAGACACAGCCGGATCATTTCCATAATGACCATTTCAATCTAGCAAGAGCAGCGCAAATCAGCATCTGGTTTAAGACGTGCATTTTGTGGGTGTTAAATAATTACGCAAATACCAGTAAATTGACTAGCGCAATCTTTAGTAAGTCACCTTGCATGATTCATTTAAATACTCTTCTCCCCAAAATTTAGTCTGAAAGGGAAACTCCAACAAATGCATTTGTAATAAGGTCGGCCGCAAAAATAACCCTATCCACGCCTTTTCAGCGCAAATTTTTCACTGGGTATCATTAAGTAAATCCTGACAGTATATTACGACCCACAAACAATTGTGTAAGTAAAACGAAATTGCAGTGTACGTTTACGTAATTATAGTACTTCTGTGTAGGAATAAGGGAACAATATTAAGTTTGGGGTAATAAAGGGATACAACCAGATATAATTTTTTTGGCTTAATGTTAAGAAGTTTAGACACAGCCGGATCATGGACCGGACTAAAACCATAGCCACTTCAGAGCTTGTTCAATCATTCTATGGGAAAAATGGCAATTGCGATTTTTAAAGGTAACACACATACTTCACTCTGCTTTTAAATTGCTCCCATCTGGATGTAGACTAAAAATTCCCTTGGCTAGAAAAAATTTCTATAAAAGATCTTTTCTACCAATGGCAGTATAAATCGTACAATGTTTTAATTGGAACAATAGAACGACTGTTAATGTTTTTAAATTTCTCTTTCTTAAGAAAAAATTTCCGCTCTGTGAAAACAGACTGGACAATAAAGTAAGAAAAGCCAATAAATTAATTTCATTTCAAAAATTCACACATTTTTATCATAATGTGCTTACATACAGCCATATATATATATATATATATATATATATATATATATATATATATATATATATATATAGATTGATATATAGATAGATATATAGATACATAGATATATAGATAAATATATACATACCACATTGTACAGGAACATATTTTGGCAGAAATGTGATGAAAACTTAAACTTTTATATACAACAGACGTACAATTTTTGCCTGGAATATATAAACAGAATAGGTACTTGTTAGTTTTAAAATAATTACATTATAAATAATTTGCTTATATATCTACTTGTTACCCTTTAATTTCCCCAAACTTAGCATATTTTTCCCTTAGCTAATTATAGCTACACTATAATTACAAAAACGTACACCGTAATTTCGGTTTACTTGCGCAGTTGTTCGCGGGTCATAATATAAAGTGTTATCGCAAACTGTTAGTAAATCTAGCCAATAGTCTGTAAAGTGGAGCAGGGCAACGTCCCATCCAACGCGTTCTCATCCTAGGGCGTCATATTGTGACACTTTTGAAATTTCGTCTAAAATCCAACGCACATGGCACCCTTTAGCATCAATATGACACGCACAGAGCTTTGCTGGGGTAGGTTTAGGGTTAGACCACTAAGAGGCGCCTTCTGGCCCATATATATTTGCGTCTCATATTGACGCTAAAGGGTGCCATGTGCGTTGGATGTACACAAAATGTCAAAAGCGTCAGTGTATGATGCCTTGGGATGAGAATGGGCTGTCCCATCAGTCCTTGTTTCGGACTCTCATCCATAGAAGTCTAGTTTTTGGCATGGGAAAAAGCATTTTTACTACTTGATAAATATAAGAATCACGGCACAAAGCTTCATGTGCTTGTTTGTTTCCTAAAAAAACCCAAAAGATCAATATTAAGTTGACGATTTTTTAAAACAAAGAAAATAAGCAATGTAGGAGAATGGTTAGTATGTGAAAACAGCGGGGAAACTGTATATTCGTGAAATGTGCTCATGTCAAAAAATCTATTCTGATTTGAAAGCATGTGACATGTAAACACGCACATGAACCTAATGACTTTATTAATAGGCCATATAAACCCTACGTTCGGAGTCATCTGAAACAAAAGTGCCCACGTAAACACAGCTACTGTAAATATTCATGAGAGAAGCATGCATTCAGATGTCACTTTGGACATAGAACACATAACTGCCAATCCAATTTCACAAAATGGCGCCTGGTGACTTGCACCGATGTGATTCAAGAGCTTGGAAGGTGCTAAGAGTGCATCCGTCTCAAAGAAGCCGTTTGGGGCGGGGGCCTTCAAGTTCTCAAGCTTCGGTCCTTTTGGAATTAGAAGCAAATAAATTTAGAGTCCCCTATCAGGTTAACACGTCTCCTCTAATGTTTCATGACCAGGCTTGGACTCTAAAAATACAACGTGTTATGATACTTTCTCCAGTAGAGGCCAGGTGGTACATAAGCAAGCAGATACTGTCCAGCAGCATCTTCACAGCGTTTTGGGGCCCGGGCCCGTGCGTCACTGCGGGTTACAGCCAGAATTAACGAAAGCAGGTCAGATGCACTTTTACTACAGCTGTCAATCAAGCAAATGCATGCCACTGCATGTGACTGCATCCGACAGCGAGGCCCTCTTAATGGCCATGGATGCTTCAACAAAAGTTGGACGTAAAAATTCATAAAAAAAAAAAAAAAAGACTTTTCCATTTTAAAATAGATATGTCAAAAATATATAATCTGGTCTGCAAATTCATATCACGTGAAGACTTGACCTCTGAATTAAAAGAACGCAACATTTTTGCAGTAAAGTGGCGTACATTGTATATTTTTACATTTTGATTTTTTTTATTATTATATGTTGAAATTAATTATTTATTTATTTTTAAACACAACGCAGAGCGTGACGGCATATAACGACTGTTGCAGCATCCGTAGCATTTTAGTGACCAATTGCAGTCAGGCACATTCAAAGGAAGTGAAGGAGGATTTAAAAGCAGAAATGTGAAGTTTATACTTACATTAATTTTTCAATTAAAACTTGTGTATTATTTAGGGGTGTAACCATATAGTGTCGCAATACATCACAATACAAAAATGCAACAATATGTATCGTGGATATTGACAATCTGTATTTGTGTATTATTACTGTGTGAGAAAAAAATCTAAGTTTTAGTGTCAGTACAACATTAAGCTACTATATAGTGTTGAATATAACATATAATTATGAAATGGGGGAATATTTGTGGGTCCTGATCATGCCAAACAGTCTTATTTTACTAATAAAAAAGTGGCCTACATTATTTTAAATATATCTAGTTAGTGACAGAGTGCGTCTAAAAAAATTCTGTATTTTCAGCTTCAGAATCATGATTCATGAATATTTGTATTCTGGTGTATCCTGTTTACCAGCACCAAGTCCAAGCCTATTAATTTACACACCCAATGTAATACCACATTAAGCATTTTAATCAGCAGTACAGTTTTTGTTAACCTTTACCATATTTCTTGGAGTATGCAATATATATCAAATCGTGACATGAGGGTATCGGTACACCCCTAGTTTTAATCTGAGCCGGAATTGTGTCGTCACATTAGCGTCATTTTCCCATTGTCTATTGTCAATAGTGTAGCGATGTATGAAGCACACTCCTTTCAAATCAAGCAGCTTTCTGTTGGTTCATATGACTAACTTGAACCCGTTGCAAAATCTACATCATATTTCACCCACATGCAAAATTCACAAATTCTGTGGGTTCCTATTAAAACGACTGAATTTCACCCCTGAGAAATTCAAAGAACAACGGTAAATGTGACTTACACTTTAAAGTGCTTTAGATCAATTAACAGTTTTTCTAGGGTTTGGGGATTGATTGCATTTCGTGGCAAAAAAGGTATATAATTGGATATATATTTAGACAGAAAATGTTAGCTACCCTTTTTGGTAACACTTTTCTTTTTTTTCTTTTTTTTCATTACAGACAAGGCTGATGCTAGTCCCAGACTAAAATTCACGTTTGAGTGGTTTTAACTGATAGCACTGGCATCTTAAAACATGTCAGTGCCATTGTTTTGTCTCAAGATGCTCATGTGCATGTTTTAAAAAGCTACATTAATGTCCTAAATAAACTAAGGCCTAATCCTGGCTTAATCTAAGCCTTGTCTGTGAAACTGCGCTATACTTCTTACAACTTGTGGCTATACTATTATATGTTTACAGATTGGCCCCATTTACTTCCATTGTAAGTGCCTCACTGTAATTTAGATTTATATATATATATATATACAGTATATATATATATATATATATATATTCAACATAATGCCACAAATGCTGTAAATAGGACTTAACTTATCAGAACCCAACATATCCCTTCAAGTAATGAAATTTAACTGTTACGCACACAAAAACACAAGACATGCACACACACACATACAGTGTTGATTTTAACTGTGAATGCTTAAGTTTCCATCATATTTGACATCATATAGTCTAAACATTTTAAAGCTGGGTGTGGGGTACTTGGTCCACTTTTAAAAGTGTTATCCCAGCGATTTTAAAACATGTGCCTTGGGTGGACTGGGTTACTAGTGTTGGCTGCGAGTGAAGACACTATTTCTGTAGTCCTTAACACTCACACACAAACACAAACACACACACACAAACTCGCTTGCAAGAGATAACCTCAGCTGATGCCAGTGACGTCACTTCCATTAGGTTTTCAGCTCGGAAGGCAAAGACCGCAGCGGCCAGGACTGGAAAAAAAAAAGGGACAGTCAACTTCCAGGAAAATGTGTGTACGCCATGTAACTGACTGGCCCTTTCTAATTTAAGAGTGCACCAACAAATGAATGTAAATTAAAAACAGTTTAACACATCCTAAGCACTGGGATTATTTATTTATTTATTCATGCTCACAATAGCTGGCAAAAGGTAACACATTAGGGTATATCGACCTACCTGCCACTATTTCTAAGGATCCGTATCCTAGGATACGGTCCCATAACAACAGGAGCTGGTCAGTGGACAGGTATCCTGAGAAGGCTCGGACTATCCACTTAAAGGCAATACGCAACCTAAGAAAGACACACACACACACACACGCATAATGAGATACCAAATCATTATCATACATAGTGTAGATTTGTACACTTTTATTACAATTCTGTTCTTTTCTTTCACAGATGTTGAGGACTGACTTGTGTTCGCCTAATTCAGCCAATAGATGGAGCTGCACTGTTATAATACAACAGCGTTTCACTGAAGTGACTTGACAACCGTTCTTCATTTCAGCTGGATATTCGAGTAACATAAGCTTTGAGCTTGTATGTATAATAAATGAGGACTTAATGAACATTTACACATGTAAATGATAATAAATTAGAACTAGATTTTAAAATGATTAAAAAACACCTGAAACATTTTAGAAACTGCATTTTTTTCTAATGTATTGCTATGGGGTTTACCCTGTTCCTAAAGTATTTTAGGATTTTGCTCTGCAGAAGTTTTCTGTTGATTTTAGGCCATTGCTATGTAGTCCCTAAAGTATTTAAGTTCTGGTGGTCCCTAAATAAGGATGTATTCTATCTTTCATTATAAATGCCATAAATGTCAATATCATTATATCTTTCATTATAAATCCATGACATTTGAGATATGACAATGTAAAATGTAAATGTAATGTAAATTTGCTTTTATTTTTGTTTTTACTCATCATCTGGTTAATGTTGTTATTTTATTGCCAATCAAATGTATTTTGATTGTATTTTTTAAGGATGTGGACTCAAAATCAAATTAGATTAAATATATATATATATATATATATAAAACAAATAAACTGCTTAGGAGAAACATGACTATTGAATAAATGACAAATAACCAATTAACAAAAATAAAGACGATCGAACAAATCGATTATTTGTGATTAATCACATCAAACATATAAGTTTTGTATATATATATATATATATATTTGGGCTGTGCAAAAATTAATTGCGATTAATCGCATCCAAATTCACATACAGAATTTAAGTGCAAATAATTCTTAAATTTATACATGCATGCATAGGTATTTATACAAAATAATGATATACAGCACACACAAATATATTATGTAAACACAGACTTTTATTTTGGATGCGATTAATTGCGACTAACTTTTGCACAGCCCTAATATATATATATATATATATATATATATATATATAAAATGTGCATGTGTGTGTGTACGGTCCCGTACTAAACTAAATTTACCGTATACAATTTTTTTTTTCCAAATAAATGCAAGCTTGATGAGCATAAAGAGACTTTCAAAAACATTACAATAGTAATTCAATTAGTACATTAAAAACATTTATTTTTGATGCGATTAATCGCTTTGACGGCACTAATATTGTTATACATAATACAAGATAATTTAATATAAATAATAATAATCAATGAGTATAGAAATCTGCATTGTGAACTCACGGTTGGGCTCCAATCTCTCGTAGATGGTAGAACAGTTGAGGAAGATGAGTCTGCAGTAACCTTTCAAACTGCAAGCACAGAGACACTATACCCTAACAAACACACATAAACATCCAGCTGAGCTCAGAGACAACCATTATCCTAACCAAACCGATCAATCATGTTACGTCACACACAGATACTTACAGACGGATGTGAGGAGATCGAGTGTAATCTGAAGAAATAGCGAATATACATCTCCCTAAACACACTGTACAGCTTAGATGGCTCATTATATAAGAAACACAGAGGAGCAACTGCAACACAGGATACAGATGCTTGCTTAGAAAACAGACTTTGCAATTTGAGGTTACGTGCTTCATTCCTCATACTCACCGTACATCGAGAAGCCATGAAATGGGACGACACCTACGGTACAGAGATGTCATATTCTGTTAAAATTGTTTTATAATACTGCTAAACTAATAAATCATCTTATAAATGCGCTGACGCCGGTTTCAGAATTCAACAAATGAACCAATACATGGTGCATGCTGGGACATGCTATTATTGAAATACTTGTAGAAGCTGTTTTCTCACCATTTGGGGGGTAAACCACAGCACACTGCTCTGAGCCAGACTTGCCTGAGAAAGAGACAACTTTATAGGCTGAACAGAAACTAAGGAAGATATCAATCAGAACTTTGCAGCAAAGATAAACATTCAAAGACATTACTTTGGACGCAAGATTTAGGAGGCGTAGCGCTGTTGTAGTTGAAATGCTCAAGGACTGCAGTGTCTCGAGAAAAACACAGCAAGACCTGTGGAGAAAAACAGTCGACAAATAATTGGCAGCACAAACAGATAAAGATTGCTATTGCAAAACACACTTTGTATCTTTGGTAAATTGCTTATTTCCTGGTTCAATTACACTTGAAGTGCCACTTTAGGGATTCAGCCTGCTGAGGTCATGCATGTTATTTCTCTTTTATTACTTTTCTCATACTGGAAATGTAATTTGTTTTAAAAACATCAAACCTTTAAAAATCAGTAGACTATTATCTGCTTTCTAGGACAATGTGGTTTGAAATTGAAAGTGACTTCTGTGCTTCATACATCACTACACTATTATACAATTTACCTTTCGTTAACCTACATGTCCCTATTGTGACAGCACCTTTGGAGTTTGAATATCTGTTCTTGCTAATATACTCCCAATTGTTACTATTGGATTGAAGAGTAATTATGAACCCTTTCACCTTATTTTCCCAAAATTCACCTCTCTAACAAAAACATATGACCACCCTGTCTCTGAACGACCCACAGATTTCACACTAAATCAATATTTACAAGCAGCCTGGCTCCTTTATCACCTCACACCTGCAACTCATATTACCGTTCCATAGTGAAGACACAATGTACTTCTGTGAAGCCCAAACACTGGCCATGTCTTTTGTATATTTCAGCAAAATTAGGAACGAAGCACAATGATGGTTGTCCAGAGGATAACAGCTAATGAAACAAGTGAACAACAACTTTGAAAATCTCTCTTAAATTGCTGGCTTGGATACAAGTGTGACAGCGCACTTATACAATTAAGTCCTAAGTAATAGTAATTAACTGCATGTAATATACTTAGTACTTGTATTCTATACAATATACATTATATACTATGATATCTAAAAATGTCATCATATATAAGGCAGGCTATCTCAAAGCGTTTTACTGTTTTATTGGAAAAAATAAACCTGCAATTTAAACTTGAGTATGATTTTGTGGTGAAAGTGAATATACATTTTAAAATTTTATAATGCTCCTATAATAATAAATGACTCAATTTCCATTTGAATAGAGAGGACTATTATAGAGGTCTATCTGTGAGACTACACAATCCAGTCCTATCTGTATCAATCCAGATATTTGAAGTGAAAGAGCATTGGTTTGCATGAGTAACTTTCTCACAATAGTTTAGTCTACAGTGAAACGTGTACAAAGAACTCTATCAATGTCATGTCCGAAAGAACTTGGGAAACTGTTTTACTTCTTTGATTATTAGAGCTTGTTTATGATTCACAGAGAAAAAATGTCATAAGTGATTGAAAGTTTGCAATGTGAGTGTGTTACACTGACAGTGACATGCATTCACCCACCTGATATAAATAGTCCTCAAACACAAAGTAGTAATCGTCATTACTCGCAGTGAGCTTCACATCCTGAGAAGAAAATTCAGGCATTTTATGCAGAAACGGGTGCACTAGGTGTGGTAAAATTGGACAGTTTTCAGTAATAACACGAAAACTAAAATAAAATGAATATTTTAAGTTCTATGGAGACTGGAGAGCCTTCATCATCCGATTTGCGCAGTGTAATTCACAGAATTACAAAAAATATATTTTGCCTCCTTTTTTTCTCACGCATGAATGCGTGTCTTTTCCTGAATATTAAAAATAAAATGTAGAGTGATAAATTTTGTCTAATGTCTGGAGTCCTTTAAGGGAGTAGCCTATATGGAAAAACATACGTTTTAATACATTATGTATTTTCTGAGAATTTATATTTCAAGTTTTGACTGCAAATGTCATGTCCATAATGGTCCGTGTAACACTTCACAATTCAATTTTCGGGACTGAGTTGGAAGGTGTGTCGTGATTCTGTAGGTTCGTGGATCTTAGTGTGGCGAATCGCAATTTCGGTTTCATATTGCATATAGTTACAGCACCAATGTTAAGTTCTACTTCTGTATAGTTATTTTGGAGAAAGTAACTCAAAAGTAATACATGAGTAATGTAACGCATTACAATTCTGAGACAGTAATATTGTAAGGTAATGAATTACTTTTAAATAACAGTAACAAGTAATACCTAATCTATTACAGTTTGGAAGTAACTTGCACAACACTGTTCAAAATATCTTCCTTTGTGTTCAGCAGAAGAAAGACATTCATACAGGTTTGAAATAACTTTCAAACAGGAAGAGTATATAATGACAGAATTTTCATTTTGAAGTCAACTATTCCGGAAATCTTGATTTTGGAAGAAATTAGTCTTTCAGAAACTGTTACTCTATTTGGTCAAAACCTATTCGGGGAAATTTCAAGAGAATAAATAGAGCATGCAAAACCATTTCTATCAAATAAACTGCATTGTAAATGTACCTTATATATTAGGTTGTCCACAAGCAGGCTGTGATGCATGACTCTGGCCTTTAGCTGTTCGTAATGTGTTATGACCTGTTTAAAAACAAAAGAACTGACAACGTGAATAGAATAACTAATACATAATGGACAAAGAAGCACCTATACACAGATCAAACTACCCCAAGTCATTACAGCAAAATTAATTATACTAACCAATTAACTAATTAAATTGCTAGGATTGCTTTCAATCTCTCAATCATCTTATGCACAGATGCATGATGTATTAGCGCCACAGTTCACTCAGTCTTGTTTAGACAAAGCACAGAAGTTGTGAGAAATCAAGATCAACAAAAACACGACATTTAATAGAAATACAATACCCATGTACTTTCTTTGCATATTTTTAAAAGCTTGATGCTGGTTGCAGATTATATGGATGAGCACAAACGGGACATTTTTATTCCAATTCCTTGTGGTTCTTAAAAGAAAGAAGGACATTCTACATTTAGTACAACACCAGGGTAATTTTCATTTTATGGTGAACTATCCCTTTAAGACAGCCTCCAATCATAAGTCTTTCTAAAGCCCATTCCCCTCCTGAAACCCAGAGGGACAGGAGAATTTTCTCCCACTTTGCTGTGAGGATAGGCATGATAGCTGGTCACTGTCATCCAGACAGCGGCTTTTATCAGCAGTTACATAATTGTTCCACCTGAAACATTTAAACTCTTGTGATTTCCCCTCTTCCCCTCCATCATTCCACCGGCTCCTGTCCTGCCCACATCTACAGCACAAGCTCAAAAGAGTGAGGGATTACTCTACTTGTTTAAATTGTGTCGCCCCACACCGGGTGTTTGTCTTCGCATTAACACATAGAGAAAGAACATTCTCCAGATGCCGTTTCCCTGCTTTAATGGAGGCCTAAGGACTAATCAGCCAGCTGAGAGACATTGCTTCACGTCTGAAATTGGCAGCTATTAGATGCCCAGCGTGAAAAATCACAGGGGGTACCTGATCTGTCATTTCTACCCCACAAGAGGCTCAAAGCTAATTGTGTTATTGAGAAGGATGATATTATTTAAAACTGCCTGGTCTGGACCACAGTACAATTTTAGGGCTTTTTAACATTTTTAAAGACATTATGCTGTTATAAGTGTGCGCAGGAACAAGGAAATGATACGTCCTTAATAGAGGCTGCCAAACCACCTAATCAAGAAGACTTGAATATGGTTTACAAGTATACACCAGAGAGAATCACTTCCACACCAACTAAACATACTACATTCTGACTTGAATTCATCCCAAAAAGCTTTACTGTGAAAGCATGTTCATATTCATGTACATATTTATTTTTATATATAACTTCTGTTAACCTTCAAAAAAAGAAACTTTTCTCCGAAACTGTAATTTGCAACACATATAGAGCGTTTCAGTCAAGAATGCTTCTGATAAGTAGAAATAAATACCCATTAAATGTCAGTTTTGGCACATGTTCACAACAACTGCCATAAATGTCAGTTGAGATATACACAAACAGTTTAATTTGTTTAAATGTAGATAAATATTTATGGTGGGTTTATATATGGTTAAGGATCTGTGACTGATTTTGTGTGTATAAAAAGAGAGAGAGAAATATAAATACACCACCATTCAAAACTTTGCGGTCTGTAATATTTAAGATTTTTATTTTATGTTTTTGAGACTTGTATGTTTACCGAGGCTGCATTCATTCTAATTTGCTGCTCAAGAAACATGTCTTATTATTATTAAGTTGAAAACCCTCTCCATTTTCTAAAATGACCTTGATGGGCACAAAAAAGGCATTCTGAAATTCAGTCAGTACCTCAGGATCATCGGTAGTATTCAGGATGAGAGTCCATAGCTGGGCCCTGAGACCCGTGGGACAGCCCTGCCTGCTGTACTGCTGCGCCGCTGCACTGTCTTGCTCACTCACCACTACAGAAATGCAGAAAAACAGGAGAAGAAGCTGCATATGTTTTAACCAAACACATCTTAAGAGGCTCTTGTAGTATCCAAAGCAAATCCATATACTTTGGCTTTTCAGAGAGAGACACTCTGTGGATGCGTCCAAAACCTAAAGCAGCTGCCTTGTCTGTCAATAACTAAACAGGCAGTATTTTCTATATGAAGGAACATCTTAAGAAAATTCATAACATTAAAGTGAGCTTTAGAGAAAAACATGCTTTAATTTTAAAGTTGTGCAATATTATTAATTAGCATTTTAATTCAATATATTTTAAAGATGTCATTTATTTAAAATTATGGCAAAGCTGTATTTTCAGAATCGTTACTCCAGTCTTCAGTGTCACATGATCCTTCAGAAAACATTTTAATATTCCGATTTGGTGCTCAAGAAAGGTTTCTTATTATTATAAATCTTGAAAACAGTTGTCCTGCTTAATATTTTTGTGAAAACATGATGCATTACTTCAGGATTTTGTTGATGAACAAAGTTCAAAAGAACAGAATATTTTGAAATAGAAATCTTTGGTAAAATTTTTAAAGGGGTGATGAACTGAGAAATAAAATTTTCCTTGAGCTTTTGACATCTAAGAGGTCATCATTTTATAAGAATATCCTGTAAGTTTCAGAAGCGAAAACCTAGTTAGTCCAATAAAAGCTTTTATTGACACCAGCCTCAGCAAACAACTCGTTTTTTTAAAAGTGGGGAACTATGACGTCAAAGAGGATAAAACACCACCCCCGCAGACGAAGATCAACGCCTGCTTCAACACGGCCGGTTTAGCCCCGCCCACCAATTCGTGCATTACACGCATAGCTAAATAACATAGATTCCTACCTCCTGATGACAAACCGGATCAAGCTACCGAGCAATACAAAATATTGTGCAGTGCCTGGTTGTGGAAGAAGACAGTCGCTGCATATGAAAAAAAAAAACATTGTCCATCTATTCGCTTCATTTCACTGAGGATTGTTTTGTAAACAAGACTGGATTTGCAGACCGATTAAGGGTAAAAAACGGTGCTGTGCTGTCTATATTGGATCTGACAGGAATGGTGCAACACAACAACATTGGACGTTTCAGAACAATTTCCCCCAAGTGGATCGACGGGTGAGTAGAAACTCATAATATGCAAAACTGTCATCCACTCACAGCAGTGGGCGTTTATTTTCAAGTCTTTAGTGTGAGACGCCCATAAAAACAGAGCTTTTTTCAGCTAGGCTCAAGACTAGGGTACAAAATAGCAAAAACTTTTTCATTTTGATGTTTTTGAATGCAAAAACCAAGCGAACATCATAAGTTGACCTCAGACAACAATATAATAAAATTTAAAAAGCCAGTTCATGACCCCTTTAACGTATTTACTGCCATGTTTAATTGATTTCATGCATTCTCGCTGAATATAAGTATTAACATCTTATTTATTTTTTTTGTAAAGCTAGTGTAAATGTTTTTTCTCACAATAAATGGGATTATAATTTCATAAAACTTAAAAAAAGGACACTATTTTATTCTTCTGATTGCATAGCATCATTGGATATCACAGGCAGTGGAAGATGCTCTTCAAATTCTGACCAGACTGTATTATTTGAGGGGAAATGGAATGGCAAATATAAAACATTCCCCGCAAGACAAGAGTGATAAAGCGGTATCAAACAAGCATTCGTGTCATGATAATGGCAAAAAGAGTTTATTTTTACCTTTTTTTCCAATGAGAATGTGCTCACTCTCAAATAAATCTGTGTTGAAACAGCAGAGAGTTAGTGAAAGGTAGAAAAGAAGTGATAGTGCAAACAGACCATACAACACAGATATTTAGCGAGCCTCTTTAGTAGCCTTAAATACAATATAGTAAATACAGAATTTAGAGGGTAGGACCATATTACACAGAGTGTTTACAGTAGGTGAATCTTCTGTTGAGTTGACAAGTTAGAAGGAATTAAACAACAGGAACATCGACTACAACTATTTGGACCAGTGCCGAAGCTCAGCCTGCGTAATATTCCATTATTCCATAATCATGTTATGGATGGAATGAGTAAATAAATACCTGGAGGAACATGAGTGTGATCATCAATACCAAGCTGCCCATAAGTAAGACCCAATTCTGGATACGTTTCTCTCTGCAACATAGAGAAATAATGGGCCACAACAATTATAAAATATTTGATCTCAAAAAAGGAAAAAGTGGGTTAAGTTTATGATAATTCTTGAAAAGGAATTTGTTTCACATAAATCACTTCTAATGCATGCCATCTGGGTGTGATGATACACTCATCTCACGAGACATGAGATATGAGATATGCAGAGAGGGTGTTTGAGAAGCGCTCAACCTATGTAAATGATTACAACGCAATAATTCGCAACGAAACAGAGCGTGTCAGACTTTATATGTGTTCTCAAATGCACGTTATTGGAAAACCCCAAAACTACAACAAAACTACATTTTTAAGAAATCTTCAATGATGAAATATATGATTGGAAAAACTAGTCTTTTATTCGACTGAAAGTCTCAAAATGCAAAACAATGCAGGTGTATTTTGAAGTTTTAACTAATCTAATGCTGTCGGTAATTCATATTTTGGCTTGGTAATCGAGTAATTGCTGGTTATTTTGACGATTAATAGTTTAATCTGATCATTTTGTGAAAATAAAAATAGACCTATTAAATACCTTTATGATAGAAATGCTACACCCACTGTAATTTCTTGAACAAGAACAAACTCAGAGAGAGTTTAAACATTTAGTTTGAAATCACGATGAACAAAAATTTGCATATTTAGAAACATATTGATGTATTCTCCTGTATTGGCCTAGGTTTATAAATGATTTAAGTTACAAATCTGGTGAAATGGCGTATGTTGCGTTGCAAGATCTACATGATAATCGCGCTAAACTCACAGCATGTGCAGAGAGGGTGTTTGAGAAGCGCTCAAAGTAGTTAAATGATAATAACCCAATACTTCGCAACGAAACAAAGCGCGTCAGACCTTATGTGTGTTCTCAAATAAACGTTATTGGAACCGAAAAAAAAAAAAAAACAGCAAGGTTTTGTCACAAACTCAACACCGTCATGCTGATATCACGTCACGTTTTAATATCGCAAGCTCTCGTGCACAGTGAGCACTAAGAGAGTTTTCCACAATCATTTCAATTTCTCTAGAACTCTTGATTACTGTAATTTGTTTACAGAAAAATGGTTTCAGATGATTTTCAGCAGTTCCAATACAAATTGCTTGCATCTTGACATGAAATTAGTAGGAAGTCAAATAAAAAGAGGGTGACTCACCATTTGAGGAATGTCACGAACGTTGAGGGAAACCTGTATTAAACCCCAGTTGCTTCTTACTGTTACATCTTCACTGCGATCATTATTCAGATTTCTTAAACCAATCAGCACCTACAAGACAACAGGTATTACGTTTCATATTACCTAAATAAGAATACTTATAGCAAAAAGTGCAAGACAAATGCTAAAACCTTTGATAACATTTTCTACAAACCCCTTCGCATCGAAATTTCATCTGCCAATTATAAAATAAACCATTCATCAAGTGGTTCTGTGGTGCCATCAAAACAACCTCTCAGTCAGTTCTCACTCAGAGTAATTTAACCGAACATTTCCTGAGGGAATCCAATCAGCTGCTTCATATCCAAACCAATCTTTCTCATTTGGACCGGATGTTTGAAAATAAACTGATTAGATTATGTAAACGAGACCCACCTCAATGAAGTCTTTGGGTGCGTAGACAGGCCTGAATTTGCTTAGGTCTGCAATTAAATAAAGAATACAGAGATCTGAGTGCTTCCAAACTTGTATGTAATGGCCTACCAATTAGTGTAATTGAAAACAAGAGCGCAACAGAATATGGTTGACAAATAACACGGGCAACTACTAGGATGCTTATCAGAACCTGTTTTGTTTACGTTATACTTAGAAGTCCAATTAAATGACTTGGTAAGATAAAACAATGTCTATACTTAAGTAAGAGGAAGAAAAAGAAAGGAGAGGGAAACGCAAATTAATGCTGGCAAAATATTTACATTCTGATTGCATGATTTTGATAATGACACAACACAACATTTTGGAATAATTCATTTTGGAATAAAATTATTGTGTATTTATGAAAGAAATCTCTAAGGCTTAGCATAAATATTAATATCCATTATAATTAATCATTATTGGTGCTCAATCATTAATGATAGTTCTTATTATTAGTGTCAATGTCATAATATAAAGTTAGTATAATATAAATTATATATAAAACTATATACAGTATCTACATGAAAATATTTCTTAAATATATACAAGCATGTGTGTGTATTTATATATATATATATATATATATATATATATATATATATAATAATTATACACAGTGCACCCACATATATTATGTAAAGATTATGTAATTAAAAATATGATTAAAAATTATGTAAATGTTTATTTTGGATGCGATTAATCGCGATTAATCATTTGACAGCCCTAATCTTTTCTTATGCATTTTTTCAGGATTCTTAGATTAATACAAAGGGCAAAAGAACAACATTTATCTGAAATAGACATCTTGTGTAACATTATAAATGTTTTTACTTGCTTGAAAAAAAATCTAATAATAATTACCCCAAACTTTTGAATGGTAGTGTATTAAAATTTCCACAAAAATATTAAGCAACACAACCATTTTCAACATTGATAATAACATGAAATGTTTCTTGGGCGCTGAATCAGCATATTAAAATGATTTCTGAAGGATCATGTGACACTGAAGACTGGAGTAATGATGTAATAATGCTGGAGTAAATTAGGAATAAATTATATTTTAAAATAAAATCACAATCCATCAGAAATCATTCTAATGTGCAGAAATCATTGGGGACCAATGCAGCCTTGGTGAGCACAACAGATTTCATTCAAATACATTAAAACATCTTAAGTACTCCAAACTTTTGACTGGTAGTGTGCTGAGAGTGAGAAAACGTAAATGATGACCAAATGTTAATTTTGGCAGAAAGTTATTTCTTTAACATGAACAAATTTTACTAGTTTGGTCATAGCAAAACTGTAAGACAGACAGAAAAAGAATAAGAGAAACCAAGAAAATTAAGAGTGTGAAAGAAAGTGCAAAAGAACGCAAGCAGAAAGAAGAACGAAAGAAAGAAAGAAAGAAAGAAAGAAAGAAAGAAAGAAAGAAAGAAAGAAAGAAAGAAAGAAAGAAAGAAAGAAAGAAAGAAAGAAAGAAAGAAAGCTTTAGTTATTGGGATGCGGTCCAGGGGTCTGGACATGCTCTGGTTTCACAGGCAGGGCTGTTTATGCCAGTGTCCTCCAGAAGGCGGTAAATGTTATCATACACACTGCAAACTGATAGCATTGTTATGGAGCTGTGATACTGCTCAGGGCTTCTGTGTGTGAGCCAAACCTCTGTGTGTAAACATTCTGCAACGCATTAACACGCACACACACCGAGATGTAACTTTGAACACATGTCAGAAAGGTTTGTGAATGTCTGCATTACCTGGTTCATCAGTTCCCATCTCGTTCCATTTATTTGTCAGCTCTTTCTGCTCTGAGATGGGACGCTATAAAACAGAGGAGAAAAAAAAAACAAATAACTGATTAAATGAATATATAATAGATTATGTGTTGTACATACACTGGTTTAGACCTTTACCTTACGTGCCAGTGGGATTCCTAACTCAGTGCACATACTGTTCAAACTTTTCAGGATCCTTTTCTCCCAGCTCACCTACAACACACACACACACACACACAATGCAAAGGGTTCAAAAACAAAAGTATTTGGTTTTCAAATAGTAGAGAGTCCATGGTAACTAATGACTAGAGGGAACACAGGAAACAGGAAGTCCAATGATAAAACAAAACCAAAACACAGGCAAAATGTGACAGTTACCACCAATCTTAGATAAAAAGACCATTTACAGCCAAAACAGACAATTTTGGCTGGACGAAAAAGGACGATACGTGTCCAAGGTGCCGCGATTGTCTACGACACCATATGTCAGTTTTCAAGCCAATCAGACAGAGCCACTAAGCGTCCTTTTTCATTGAACCGAGCCCTTACATAGGGCCAATCCCAATTCTACCCCTTACCCCTTTCCTTTCCCCTAGCCCTACCCCTTCGCCTTCCCCTTGACCCTTCAAACAGAGTGGCAATGCGTAGGGGTGAAAATATTCCCCTAAGAAATGGGACACCACTACGCCTCCGTTAAACGTCATTATAAGTCGTCGCTAGCGCCTACGTCACAGGATATGCGCCGATGTTTATCACAACTTCCAAGATCCCGTCGACAGCTGCAGTTATCTGTCGCGTGGGTTACAGCTATTTTCTTGCATCTTGTGAAGTTCGCAGGAAACAACGGAGACGACGAAAATATGTTGCGGGACTATCGTTAGCAAACTACAGTAATTTTAGCGATTTTTTTACAAACGTTTCTGTGAAGAAACTGACCGTAAATATGAACACAATATTGAATGTAACATAAAGCAAATCATTATTTGTCGTTATAATACTTATTAAAGCCACAAATACTTAAATTTATGGGTCTCCTTTGTCGCTTGGGCAGCCAGGCTGGGTTAGCAGTGACACTTCTCATACCCCTTCGTTTGAAGTGTGCTCCCGAAAAATCTTCGTTTGAAGGGCTATCTGGCCCTTCACCCTAGCCCTCCCCCTCCAACCAAAAGAGAATTGGGACAGCCCTACCCCTTCACGTGGACGCGCAAAACGGAGGGGAAGGGGAAAGTGAAGGGGTAAGGGGTAGAATTGGGATTGGCCCATAGTTGTACCGAGTTTGGCGAAATCATATCATACCGTTCGAGAGGGATAAACGTTTTAGTAAAAGTAGCCACGCTCACCTTCAAACGTTTTGGAGTCCCGTCTTGGACTTGAATTGAAACTGAATTGTGGACTTTTTTCATATTTATTCATAATCACACTCCAGAGAATCTTTTTGCACTGGTTTGGTTTCGTTTCGTAAAAAAAAAATCCGAAATACCCGAAAATTTTACCAGGGTGACGACCAAATCCAAAACGTCTATCCAACGATATATTGGACACTTGAGTCTGCGACAAATGGCTTAGAAGTTAAGAGCCATCACGTACTTTTGATCACTATAGCGCCACCATCAGGCCGATTAGGGCGAGCCTTGGTGGCGTTGTAGACTGGGTAGTGTCAAGTCTCTACGACTTATGGTTTGGTCTGCCCGATCACTTTTAGGGGAAAATGCTGATCCTTGGAAATTCTAACAATTTTTAACAACCCCTTTCTTGAACCCCTAAAGAAATAAGAGAAAGAATGTGTACCTGGGCTTTGCGCATATATTCCAGGGGCTCTTTGGCATGTTCAGGAGGTGCTCTGGGGTGCCCAGGGGGAGGCAGACTTCACCACACATAAACATAAAACACAGAAGCATGGACAAACCATCAGTTACATTAGTTTAACCTCGATGGAAACTTACAGCCAAAATTCGACCATATTTATGCAATTACTGTATTAAAAAAAAAGAAGTCAATTTTCATTCTATGAAATATTTTAGAGTGCAACAAGTGCCCGCACACTTTTTCAGTGGCCTTGGTTTCGGAAGCATTTCTCCCATTATTTTTTTTCCCAAAGGCACTTAAAAAATGTCGGGGGGCCTGTCCCATTACCCAAATTTGTGGTCTTGGCACACTAGAGAGTGTGTGCATGTGACAGTTATTAAGTGCGCAAGACTGTCCCAGGTCTGAAAAATGTCAAAGTGCAGTGCAGAGCGGTATTTGAAACTAAGAGAATCCATTCATTAGTTCAGTAACTTGCATGCCCCCGATTTTGTGATGTCTAGGAAAACTTTTCAGTGTAATTTAAATTAGTTAGACATTGACTTGTTAAATGGTAAATGAAAAATGTCATGTATATTGTAATCATTATGATATGATCAAAACATATTGACATTTCTTGAAAGAAGTCACTTCAGATAACAAATTACTCTAAATTGTAATGTAGACAACATGCATTTTCTGTAAAGCTGCTTTGAAACGATACATGTTGAGAAAAGCACTATACTGTATATACTTGTATAGTCTATACAAATAAATGTGAATCGAATTTTAATTGGTAGTAAAATGTAAAGTGTTGGAAATTGTATTGGTGCAGATAAGCAGCATGTGTATTTTGTAAAGAAAAGTTTGCAGCTGCTCTTTATCACTTATATGAAGCACCACAAGAAATTGTGTTTGTTATATACTGTAGGTAATGAACAGACATTTTAAAGTTTGAAGTTCAATGAAAATCAAATTTATTACAACATGTTGTACAGTAAGTGAGTAGGTAATCCAAAAGTATCAAAAAGTGCTGTCTTTGCACCCACTTGAACACTTTGGCCAAATACAAGAAATACATCATGTAAGTAGACAAGTGGTCAAGTGCAAAGACTACAAGTATGGGTATTAGTACAGGCCCTCCGTTTAAGGGTTATAAACTAGGGCTGTCAATATATTAAACATTTTCATTATGATTAATCACACCCTTTTTCACTTATCGTGAAATTAAGCATACATAATTTATCTTGTTTAACATGTTTATTTTGTCATCATTTGCAATATCCAGGAGAGTAAACCATTACTTATCGATTTTCACAAAACAGTATTTTCTGCAAGCTTTTTCAAAGTAAATTTAGGTGTCTTTCCAAAAAAAGGATATCTGGGAGACTCCAAACGGACACTAACACTATAACCAAATTGTTGAAGGAGTCCATAATTCACATGTTTATGCACACCAAAACATGTTAAAATTATCTTTAAGAATTTAGATTGATTCCCATACAAAAAAAAAAAAAAAAATAAATGAGATATTACTTCCAGACCGGAACCCAACTGTTGCTCTCTATTGTAACCATATATTGGCTCCTCCCTCTCTAAAAAATCTGACATACACCAGACTTTCACATTAATGTCTACACAAAAAGACATTTAGCAGAGACACCTGCCTCATATTCCATTATCAAACTTTATAAAGCCAGTCCTACACTATTTTTGTTTCAGTCCCTTCAGTCTTTTCTCAGCCCCATTAGCTTGAGTTATTTTAGGATAAACACATCACCAAAAATGTGCATCTACAAAACATCTGAAAATGCTGTCTTTACAAACAAGGAGCCATATGTTTAAAGGTATATTTAAAAAACAAAAACATCTCTAACAATGTCCAGCTCGAACAGTTTTATGGGCTACATCGTAAAAGCAATTTATATTGTACGTCAGACTCTCCATTAAGTCCTGTCCTGTATTTGTACCTGGATTCTTTTAAACTTAATGAAGCAATTCTGTCTCTTGTCATTTTTACATTTAGCCAGAAAGAGTATCTGTCATAAAACTGTATAAACACTAAAACTGGAGGAAGAAAAACTCTAGATATTTCCAATATACGTGAGAGAATAGAGTCTCATATCATCCTTTTTATTACTGATGATCTTAATGCGGTAATACAAGAATAAAGTGTTTTTTTTTGAAGAAACTGGCTAGTGTTTTTAATGATATGCATTAGAAAACAAATACAACCCGATTTACGGATTTTTCAACAACAAAAAAAGTATAAAATTAAAAGACTTTCAAATCACATGAGCCAATATTTTATTCACAATAGATCATAGATAACATGTTTAAACTGATAAATGTTACAATTTTATGCACAAAATGAGCTAATTTCAAATATGATTCCTGCTACAGGTCTCAAAATAGTTGGGACGGGGGCATGTTTCGAGGAAATGGACTGAATCTGTTTCTCTGAATCTTTTGATGATGCACTGTTGATGATGAGATTTGCAAAGCCTTTGCAATTTGACGTTCAGGAAAATTGTTTTTAAAGTATTCCACAATCTTTTTATGCAGTCTTTCACAGATTGGAGAGCCTCAGCCCATCTTTACTTCTGAGAGACTGGGCCTCTCTATGAAATACCTTTTATAGCTAATCATATTACAGACCTGATATCAATGAACTTAATTAGTTGCTAGATGTTCTCCCAGCTGAATCTTTTCCAAATGTCTTGTTTTTTCAGCCGTTTGTTGCCCCTGTGCCAACTTTTTTGAGACCTGTAGCAGGCATCAAATTTGAAAGGAGCTCATTTAGTGGATAAAAGTATAAAAATTCACTGTTTAAACATGTTATCTATGTTCTATTGTGAATAAAATATTGGCTCATGTGATTTGAAATTCTTCTAGTTTTCATTTTACTCAAATTTAAAAATCATCCCAACTTCTCCGGAATTCAGGGCTGTATATCATGAATATAAAATGACATATCACTTACATGTGTAATTCCCTGTAAACTGCATTTTGTAATTTCCTCTCCCAACCTACAAGAATAAAAGGGTCAGTGACAGTACAACACAGAACACATCATCTCTTGAGCAAGTTAACTGGTAAGAAAATATAAATTAAAGATTAGAAAATAAGAAAATAAATAAATAAATTAGTATATCAATCAATGTAATTATGAGCTCTGATGATTATGAATAATAATAAGAGATATTCATTCTAATAATGCTGATTTGGTGCTCAAGAAACATTTCTTATGAATGTTGAAAACATTATATATGTATATAAATATATATACGCACACAAAATAATTATACACAGTGCACCCACATATTATGTAAACACAAACTTTTATTTTGGATGCGATTAATCATTTGACATCTCTCTCTCTCTCTCTCTCTCTCTCTCTCTCTCTCTCTCTCTCTCTCTCTCTCTCTCTCTCTATATATATATATATAGGCTATATATATGCATTAAATTGATCAAAAGGCATTTACATTAAATACAACATTTTTCATTTTTTTTTTATAAATGCTGTAGCTAATAATTATTAAGGAATTATACATTTATAAGAAAATGAAAAATGTTGTATTTAATGTAAATGCCTTTTGATCAATTTAATGCACATATATATATATATATATATATATAGCTATATATATATATATATATATATATATATATATATATATGTAGAGAGAGAGAGAGAGTGAGAGAGAGAGAGAGAGATGTCAAAAGATTAATCGCATCCAAAATAAAAGTTTGTGTTAACATAATATGTGGGTGCACTGTGTATAATTATTTTGTGTATATATATATATATATATATATACACACACACACACACATGCATGTATATTTAAGAAAAAAATATGATTTATATATAAAATTATATACATATATATATATATACGTCCATCATTACACACACACACACACATATATATATATATATATATAATTTTATATATAAATCATACTTTTTTCTTAAATATAGAAAAATCAATGAGATTTTGATAACCCATATACACTCTTGTGTGTATATATATATATATTTACTTTTTTTACTGAGCCTAAACTATTTGAACGATAGCTAAACTGTACTAAATTATTTTTTATTCAAATAAATAGAAATACGACGGTCATGTAACGTTACCTGATTCTTTTAACAATCTCCTCACGTCATCTTTCAGTGTTTCTAGTTTAATTTCGGGTTTGTGCATACATTCCTAGAGAGAGAGAAAAAAAACGCATCACTGCAATGAAATACAACAGCAAACGAAAGCTGACAGTCAGGAATGCGGAGACCGTGTTTCGTGTTGCACACTCTGCAGTCAGTTAGCTGAAGCTACTCACTTTAGCCTGTTTCTCCAGCTGAGAGTGTAAATGAGTCCCTTTGAGCCGTTGAACTATCTGTGTTATAGAGACAGACAGCTCTGTGCTTTCGTCCATCATTACACACGTTTAATGTGATGTCGATGCAAGATGTTCATCCGTTAGCGCTGCAGCATCACAGGATGAGGCACCGTATCCAGGCAAATGACAACAAACCTTTCAGGAAACATGTCCTCGACGGAAGGTTCCGACACTAAAGGCCTTTATTAAAGGGATAGTTCACCCGAAAATGACACTTCTGTCATCACCCTCAACAGGCTCTTAAGGTTTGAAGACAGGCAAGAGAGACATATTCTTATCTGTTGAACACAAACGTAGATAGTTTATAGAATGTTTGTAACCAGACAGTTGATGGTAGCAAATTCCTTTCTATATTGTTTTTCCTTGGAAGTCAATGGGTGGCGTTAACTGTTCTGTTATCAACATTCTTTAGAATAACTTATTTTGTGTTCAACAGAAAAAAGAAATGTGCACATTTTGTGAAACATTTTGTAATGACAGAATCTAGATTTTTGGATGAACAATCCCTTTAACATAAAAAAGAGTTCTTATGCAAACAACTCAAAATAATGAATTTCACAAAACACTATGATAATGATAATAAGAGTTTTTATGCTAATGACTCAAGCTAATGAATTCCACAACATTTATAAATTAATTTAATTAAAATGTTCATAGGCTTATGCTGTAATTATTTTAGTTCTGTCTTATATAGGCTATAAAATAAAATAAATTTAAATAAAAGGACGGGTCTTCCAATCGTTGTGTTATTGTGTTAGCGTGGCAAAGGTTCCCTTCAAAGAAATATGTGCAGACATGGCTTTGCATGAAAATGGTCTCACAAATAGCTATAAAGAACATTGCACCTGAAAGAACCATTTACCAGATCATTGAAAACTTTAAGGAGATAGGTTCATCTGCAGAGAAGAAGGCTTCAGTGAATGTACCAGAGTGTCCAGCAAGCACCAGGACCATCTCTTGAATGTCACCACCAGTGCAGAGCTTGTTCAATATTAGCAGCAGTGGGTTTGAGTGAGACCAAGACTTTTTGGAGAAGGACAGCAAAGAAGCCACTCCAAGAAAAACACCAAGGACTGAATTTCTGCAGGAAGTGGACTGCAGGAGACTGGTGCAAAGTTATTTTCTCTGATTAAGCCTCCTCCTGACTGTTTGGGATATATGGAAAATCAATTGAAAACAAGCGTCTATGGATACATTGATGTGTGAGGAGGGAAACCTTGTACTCAATCCTGGTGGAGATGGGGAGCAAGTGGAGTTAGTGGAGAATGGGGGTAATGTGCTCATGTTTCCGCACTCTCATCAGCATCCTAGCTGCACTGAAGACTCTTTCTAGGAATCCCAATGAGAAGTGTGTTGCAGTAGTCCAGTCTGAATAAAGAAAACTGGTATCAAAACTTCCTGCAAGAGCAACCCAGCAAACAAATTTAGGTTCTGGGAATGTTAGTTTTTGTTCCCAGAACATTCCTAGAACTTTTCCTTAAGGTTAAGGGAACGTTCCCGGAACATTCTCCTAAAAAATGGAACCTAAAAATAACCTACATGGAACATTCCTATAACGTTCTTGTTTGGTTCCCAAAAAATTACTTAATTTATAAAATAAAATAAAAATAAAATAAAATAATTTGCTCATGGGACCATCCGGGAACGTTTAGAAGAACGTTCTGTGTTTGCTGGGAAGGAGCAATTTGATGATGGTCTGTGCAATTTCCAGCATGATGGAGAATCATGTCACTAGTCAAGGAGTGATGAAGAGACTCTGAGATCATTACATTGAGATTTTGACCACATCCACAGCCAGTCAGGAGCTGATAATAACCAGTATGCTATAGAGTGAATTGAGGAGAAAAAAAAAGTGTAAATATTGACTCTTGTTTTTGCCAATAAAGGGCTTTAAAGGGATACTCCACTTTTTTTGGAAATAGGCTCATTTTATTACTCCGCCATAATTAAACAGTTGGGTTTTACCGTTTTCGAATGTATTCAGCAGATTTTCTGATATTTAGAAGAATATCAGTAACCAGGCAGTTTCTGGTCTCATTGAATTCCATAGTATATTTTTTTCCAACTACCAGAATCCAGAAACTGTCTGGTTACTGATATTCTTCTAAATATAAAAAAATCGGCTGAATGGATTTGAAAAAGGTAAAACTCAACTTTTTAACTACAACAAAAGTGCAGTATCCCCTTAAAAGTTATGAAATTCTTATGAAATCATTGTTTTCTGGTAAAAAAAAAAAAAAACGTGAAAACATGTGAAAAGATTACCTACAACTACTGAAGCTTGAATTCTTTGCGAATTACTTTTGCGGCAAAAGTTTTGCCCATGGCTGTAAAAGATATTGATGCTTTAGATGGGAATGCTGTTCTGTTGATTAGCAGTTTGTTTTTTGTTTGTTTTTTTGCAACTAGTCAGTTTGACCAGTGTATGTATGCTGGGTAACAGTGATGGCTTAAGCTGGTCATCAACTGAAAGAGAGAAGAGTATATCAGATGGCACTCTTAAATATCTATTAAAAAAAAAAAGACAGAAAAATGTAATTTGTAAGTTCTGTAATTTGCTCAGGTTTGAAGGGCCTGCCTCTCTCAGTCAGCCTAATGACAGTTTCCAAATGGCAGGTGCGGTTTCCCGCGCTTTTTTTTTTTTTTTTTTTCAGCGTTGCAAAAGTAATTTAATTCCAATTAAACTTTTATCTGACTCCTTTTATCACAACCTCAAATTTAGGTTAAAATGGGCATTTGTATGATAGTTTGGATCCACATTCGATTATTCTATTTAACTCTTTATTGAAATTACACTTCTTTATCTGATTCCTATGCTTTGAGTCTCGCACTGCCGGGTTTACGATCTCATAATAACAAACTCGTCAGTCTTGGTCATTAGCAGAGGTCATTGACCAATATCCTGGATGGCTGTCTACTTACACGTACTAGAATATATTATTTAGTCCTCATATCTGTACACACTTAATTAAGGTAAGACTATATATAACCAGATGTCATGACCTTTTCCATAACCAAGCTGACCAACTTAACTACTTCTTATGGTAACTTTGTATAATCATGCCATTATAAGAGGTTGAGGCTCACCCTTTTTAGATTGGTCTAATAACACACCAGAAAACCCATTAGCCTTGTATACATTTGTCAAGTACTAATGCCAATGTGTTAGTCAGAGCTCTAAAATATCAGCCCGTGTGCCCTTCTGCTTCATGTAAGCTCTATTTTAGTCCGTTACTAACCTGAGCGTAGGTTTGTAGTGTCATGAACTTAACGTAACACTAATAATTTGAGAGTAAGTCTGAATAAATCCCAATGTAACAATTTATTAATAGTCAGGTAAATGTATCATGCAATCAGTTCAAAGACAATTTATCCAAAACATGGTTCCACTTTATTTCGATAGTACACTTTAGACATTCTACTAACTATGAGTAACTTTGCAACAACAACTCACTTTAGAGCATTAGTAGATTGTTAGGTTATGGTTAAGTGTTCAGGTAGAATAAGTTGACTTGTAGTTGACAAGTTACTTACAGTCAGTAGAATATCTGTTGGGGGACCAACAAAATAAAGTGTTAGCAGATATTAAGCATACAGTCTACTAAGACTTTAATGAAAGCTAGTTGACATGTAGTTGCAAACAGTTAGTAGAATGTCTAAAGTGGACTATTGAAATAAAGTGTTACCCAAAACATTAAATGCTCTGGAAAAAAAAGATTAAAAGATGCCTGACATTAGAAAAAACACAGGACATTCAGCATTTCGAGCTGATCTGACTAGAAATCCCACTTTGAGCATCCTGCAACATCACTTTAAATACTCAGACCAAGGCAGAAACCTCTTTTAAATGAAAACTAACAATAGGAATTTGCATATACTGAAGACTCCAGACCTGGGTAGTTTACACCTTACTGAGGACAGAAGACAAAGACCAATTGGCAGAGGATCCACCCTCTACAGAAAGCAAAATATCTCTTAACTCTTAAAATCTATATTACCTTTTGGTTCACTTCTGTGGGGATGAGACATTTGTACCAGTCGCACTGAGAGTGTTGTATGATCATTGTTCACATTAACCCATATAGATTGTGGGGTGAATTTCAGATTATCTGCAGCATGGAGAGAAGAGGGGGTGAAGGAGAAAGGACAAAACTAAGATGATTGACTCGAGGTTATTGACTGACTCAGTGTGATTGCATCTCTGGTGGGAATGCTCATTTTGAGAATTTCCTCAGAAAAGTCCTTTGTTTTCTCTGAGAGCAGTCATTCCTCTTTCTAGACGGCTCTGCATCTTCCAGTTTCTCCAGTATTACAGATTAAACCTGAACAAGTATAGACATAAACAAGCAAGCAGGTTCTGTGTCTCTTTGCAGGAAGGCTGATGATGTTTATTGTGCACAAATATATCTGACAGCAGCTATCAGGAATTACAGTTTTGGCCAGTACTAGAGAGATTTTTGAGTTAACAAAACCTGCGTGTGGCCGTCTTCAAAACACTTACCTAAAGCCCTTTTATGTTTTACAACGTTGTAAAGTATGTCTGAAAGCTGCATGTCATGTAGGCAAGCTTTATAGTCAGTAAGAAGTCTTACAAATTATTAAAACACATTCTGTAAACTCCTTTTTACTAATCGGAACAACAATTAAAGTCACCATTAAATGGACCATTCTTATTTCATGGAATGTTGCAGTATTTATTATAAAAACAGTTGTACACAAAATTATTGATCCCCCATTGCAAATCAAGTATAATGGTCACATTTGGAGGCATTCAGCTGTTTGCAATGAACAAATCAAACAAAACTGAAATAGCTCAACACAACAAATGTTTCAAGTGGTTTTCCCAAATTCGAATGAAAATGCAACATTTAACCCTCTAGGAAAAAAAAAACTTTTTTGAATGAGTGTAAAAATGAGTGTATCTTATGAGTGTAAACGAATTAATGTAAACAGCTCAAATCAATTCTGTATCCACAAGTTTCCTACGCCCCATGAGGCCTTGCGTCAAAAGTGGGCGCGACTTCCGGTTGGAAGTAAACAAAGCACGACTTGACATGCTTGACACTCGTTCATTCAACAGTTGACAGTCATTCAAGTTATAGCGATCCAAACTAGCTAACGATGTGGGAACACAACCTCAACGAAATTCAAAAGGGTGAAATAA